ACGCAGCCTGCTGTTCAGTCGTTTGGTCATCCCTCACTACCCCCCCTGCCGGCCTTGTTGCCCCACTCAGCCTGTTCGGTCGTCCATTCGGTTGTTTCGGATGTGACGGTCTCTTAGGCTTTTAGTATATAGATGGCATTATTTGTTCTTTCATTAGTATATGTGACCTTTTGTTTGGCCTATTTTATATACTGGGTACATTTTTATAGTTTAAATCATTTATATTCTGATTATTTTCACCTAACAAAAATATTTTCCACAATCATCTTCATACTAATTTTTAGTACTAGTAATTTGGTATTTCTTTGTGGTACTGTCTTATTCCACTCTTGTTGGACATGTGGGTTGTTAAGGTAGCCATCTTTTTATGTTCTTTTGCTTTGGTTGAATTATACAAGTTAAATATTCAAAACTTGAAATACTTCGGCAGAGAGTATAAACTGGCTTTTAGTATATAGTGCTGTATTGTTTTGCAGGCAGGTTATACCAATTTAGGATCATGCATGTTTTGTTTTATTTTATTTTATTTTAAAATATATTTTATTGCATTTTTTACAGAGAGGAATAGAGAGTTAGAAACATGGATGAGAGAGAAACATCGATCAGCTGCCTCCTGCACACCCCCTACTGGGGATGTGCCCACAACCAAGGTACATGCCCTTGACCGGAATCGAACCTGGGACCCTTGAGTCCGCAGGCCGACGCTCTATCCACTGAGCCAAACCAGTTAGGGCGGATCATGCATGTTTTAAACAAAATTTATGCTTATAAATGCACCACAGAATTTTATCAATGGAAAAGATTTCTCTGGTGAACTTCTTTGTTTTACAAATGAGGAAACTGAAGCTCAACAAGATGAGGTAACTTGATAAAGATTACACAACTCATTTGGTGACTAAGTCTGGTTTGGGACCCAGTTGTTAGGGTGTTGGTCCCAGTACATTATGTCTTTTATATTTTAGTAATATATTTCTGCAAAAAAGTAAATTGTGATGCCTTTAATTATACACTTAAATTGCCCTCATTGAAAAAGTTTAGAAGTGTTTTCTCCTGTTTTCTGAAAAAAATTATATAAACTTGTATTTCTTCTTTAAATATATGATAGAACTCACCAGTGAAGCCATCTAAAGTCTGGCTTTTTGTGGAAAAATTCTTCGTTGTTTTTTTCATGTTTTGTTCACTACTTTCTTTTTCTTCTTATTATTAAGTACTGGCAAGGAGCCCTAGCCAGTTTGGCTCAGTGGATAGAGCGCTGGCCTGTATACTGAGGGTCCTGGGTTCAGTTCCCATCATGGGCACGTACCTCAGTTGCAGGCTCCTCTCTGGGTTGCCGTGCAGGAGGCAGCCCATCGATGATTCTTTCTCATCATTGATGTTTCTCTCTCTCTCTCTCCCCCCCTCTCCTTTCCTCTCTGAAATTAATAAAAATATATTTTTTAAAAGTACTGGTAAGGATGTTTTTCTTTTTGTGGTAAAATAAACATAAAATGAAATTTACCATTTTATTCATTTTTAAGAATAAAGTTCAGTAGCAGGTACAAGGTTTTAAAAACACATTATTGTCTCTCTTTTTATTTTAACCATTCTGATACTAGGGTGTGGAATGATTTCTCTGTGGCTTCGATTGCATTTCTCTCATAACCGGGATTAGGATGCTGAGAAGCTATTAAGCATCTTTTCATGTGCTTATTGGCCACGTAATTTTTCCAGTTTGTTTCACCTTTTATCCCCCTCCCCCAAAGTATTGATAAGGTGTGTTTTTTAAAAAACAACAGCACAGGTTTATAGAGATATAATGTGCCTACCATTAAGTTCTTCCATATAAAGTGTACAATTCAGGGGTTTCAGAATATTACTAAGTTGTGTAAACATCACCATAATCCAATTTTAGGACATTTTCATCATCCCAAAAGAAATCGTGTACCCATTAGTAGTCATTCCCCTCCCCTCTCCCCCTACTCTAGGTAACCATTAATCTTTAACTTTCTGTCTCTCGAGATTTGCCTGTCTTCTTTTTTAACATAGGTGTTTAAAGCAGCAAATTTCCCCCTAAGCACTGCTTTAACCGCATCCTCTAAATGTTATATTTTAATTTCATTCAAGTCAAGATGTTTTCTAACTTTCCTGGTGATTTTTTTTTCTTTTGATGTATGGTTTTTTAAATTACTTTCCAAATATTTAAGGGTATTTCAGAATTCTCTCTGCTGTTGAAAGGAATTTCAACCACCTAATTCAATTTCGTTGTGGTAAGAGACATACTTTTAATGATTTCAATCCTTTTAAATTTGTTGAGGCTTGTTTTAGCATACAATCCATCCAGGAGGCTGTTCATGTGCAGTTCGAAAAATCAGCCTTCGACAGAGTTGAATGCAGTGGATGACATCATTTGGTTTGTGTTTTAGAAAGGTTGTTCTGGGTTGTGTATGGGAAATAGATTGTTGTGTCACAAGGAAACCTGGGAGAGACTGTTGCCCTACTACAGGCAACAAATGATGATGGCTTTAACCAGGATAATAGTGGCGGGATGAGGTATCAGAAGGTTAAGGATGAGATTGCTGAGGGGATGGATATAGTTGGTATGAGAGAGAAGTCAGGAATGACTCCCAAGGTTTATGGCCTAAACACCTGGACCCAAAGATGGTGCCACTTTTGAGCTGGAAAGCTCCATAAGAAAAGCAGATAATAAAATACTGGATAAGACATTTGTGAAGTGGACTGCTATTTCCCACCAGGCTTTCACATCTCTGAGTACAGAGGGGAAATGATATCAAGTAACACTAGATTCTAAAAGCCAAAGCACATCCTTGATCTAGGAGTCCTTATGTTTACCATCCCTTACTGAGCTTTGCTAGATTTCCTATATTACTTAAAGCTGACACCCATCTCTCTTTAACCTTCCAGCTGTTCAGAAACAAAATAGCATAATTACTCATTTTAGTAGTAAGTTCCCAAAGAGTTTGACAGACCTACAGGAGAGCATTGAGAGAGGGAGAGGGAGAGAAAAATAACTGGATATATATCCCGGTGACTATAGTTAATAATAATGTATTATATACTTGAAATCTGCTAAGAAAGTAGATCTTACTAATAAGTGTTCTGACCGCAAACAAAAGGCAACTAATGGAGGTAGTGGATATGTTAATTCATTTGATTGTGGTAATTATTTCACATTGTATACATATATAAAGACATGTTGTGTACCTTAAATATACAGATGCTCCTTGACTTATGATGGGGTTACATCCTTACAAACCCATCGTAAGTTGAAAATATTGTATATCAAAAATGAATTGAATACACCTAACCTACTGAACATCATAGCTTTACCTAGCCTACCTTCAGTGTGCTCAGAACACTTAAACATTAGCCTACAGTTAGGCAGAATCATCTAACACAAAGCCTGTTTTGTAATAAAGCGTTAAATATCTCATGTAACTAAATACTGTACTGCAAGCGAAAACAGGGTGGTTGTATGGGTATTTGCCATTAATACACAGTTGAAAATGCGCTGGGCCAGGGTGGCTGAAGCGTTGCTGGGTGATGGGGGTGTGACAGCACCAGGGTCATCCCTGTCTTTCTCTTCTGATGAGGCTGGAGAAGAGCTGGTTTCTACTGAATGTGTTTCACTTTTGCACATTGTGAAGTTGAAAATTGTCATGTTGAACCACCATAAAGTTGGAAACCATCTGTACACAATTTTTTGTCAAAAATAATCTTTAAACAAAAATTAAAGATAGTTTCCAGGTTGTGGTACAGGGAGAAAGATTCCCTGGGTGAGGAGGCGGAGCTGAGGCAGCTAGAGCTAGTAAGTCAGAATACAAAAAAGAAGAAAGCTTACAAAGAGAAACTCCGAGATCTGCAGAGGGACCCTTTGAGCATTGATCAGTGTGGATTGGTGCTACATGCGAGGAAATGAGCTAAGACTGAGGAAAGAACAATGTGAAAGAACTAAAAGGAAAAGTACCTGTTCCCTCCAGCAAGATTGGAAAAAACTTAGGATTGATGTGGCATTGGGTAAGGAATTCAAAAAGGTCCCGCTTCAGTGGTAGGAGATAATTACCCTAGACTGAACACTGCTTCAGACCTGCCTAATAAATCATAAAGCAGGACCTGAACAAATTAAACTATTTCCAGGTAACTAACAGCATCCCAGAACAGAGCTTAAGAAGATCTATAATACTATAAAAATATCAAGCAGCCAATAGGAATATAAAAATATTGAGATAAGGTAAAATTCACAAAGTCTGGCATATAAGCAAAGATTGCCAGGTAGCAAAGAGAAAGGAAAACATAACCAATAATGAGAATAATCAATCAAAACCAACCCAGAGCTGACACAGATGTTAGAATTAACAGAGAAGTACATCAGAACAGGCAGTATAATTACATATGTATAAAAAGTTAGCTAGATACTCTAAACTACCCAAATCAAACTTATGGAAATGAAAATAATATCTCAGATAAATACATTAGATGGGATTAACATCAGTCATTACAGAAGAAAAGATTCATGAAGTTGAAGATACAACAAAAACTACAAAATAAAATAGAGAAAAAGTGAAAAAAAATTGTTAATGAAAAGAACATCCAACAGCAACCTCCAGCAGCCTAATGTGTGAGTAACTGGAGTCTCTGAGAGGAAAGGAAGGGAGGAGCAGGAACGAGCCTGAAGGAGGAATGGCCACGCCCTGGCTGGTGGCTCGGTTGGTTGGGGCATCGAACCATTTGGTTGTGGGTTTGGTTTCTGGCCAGGCACATGCCTGGGTTGCGGGTTTCATCCCTGGTCAGGATGAGTCAGAAGGCATCCAGTTGATGTTTTGCTCTCACATTGATGGTTCTCTTTCCCTCTCCCTTCCTCTCTCTCTAAGATCAATTTTAAAAAAGAAAGAATGGCTAAAATTTTTTCACACTTGAAGAAAACTATAACCCACAGATCTAAGAAGCCCTACTCCAGGCATAAGAAACAGGAAGAAATTGCTCAAAACCAGTGATAAAATTGAAAACCAAAAAGCAGCCAGCAGGGCCAGGGGGCAGATATGTTCCGTACATAGGAATAAAAATAAGAATGGACATCCGATTTCTCATTGAATTCAAGTACAAGTGAGAAGACAGTGGAACAACACCTTTAAAGTACAGAAAGAAAAATTGTCAACATAGAATCCTATAGCAAAAGTATCTTCTAAAAATGAAGACAAGGTAAGATATTTTCAGGTATACAAAACTTGGAAGAATTCATTACCAACTCTCACTACAAGAAATGTTAATGGATGGACTTCAAGCAGATTAAAAATGGTATCAGTTGGAAATCTGGAGCTACACACACAAAAAAATGAAGATCAAGAAATGGTAATTACATTGATAAACATAAAAGGGTTTTTTTTTTAACCTAAAATTGTTTAAAAGATAATTGTATAAACAAAAATATATCATGGAGTTTATAGCACAACATGTAAAATGCCTGGCAGTAATAGTACAAAGGTTGGAAGGGGGAAAAATAAATGTAACCATTGTAAGATTTTATACTGTCCATGAAGTAGTATACTATAACTGTGGGTTAGAAATGTATACTATAAACTTTAGCAACCACTAAAATAAAAGAACAAAGAGTTATAGCTAATAAGACAACAAAGAAGATAAAACAGAATCATAAAAAAAAATAACTGTATTAATCCAAAAGAAGGCAGGTAAAAAAGGGAACCAAAAAAAAAAAAAAGGACAAATAGAAAACAAATAACAACATGATAATATAATCATAGCAATAATTACATTAAATGAAACTGGCCTAAACACCCCCCAATTAAAAGGTAGGGATTATCAGATTGAATTAAAAAGCAAGATCCAATCACTGCTATAGATATAAAGCCAGAAAAAATACTTAGAGTGAAAGATTGAGAAAAGATAACCTTGCTTATACTCATCAAAAGGAAGCTGGAGTGGCTATATTAATATCAGACAAGGCAACTTCCACAGCAAGAAATATTACTACAAAGAAGGTTGTTTAATGATAAAGGGATCAATTATGCACCAAGATGCAATAATCGTAAATGTTTAAACATCTATTAAAATACCTTAAATACATGAAGCAAAAGCTAATAGAACCGCAAAGAGAAATAAATCCATAAATGTAGCTGAAGATTTCAACACTCCCCCACCCCACCAATAATGAATAGAACAAATGGTCAGAAAATCAGCAATACTATAATGGCTTGAACAAATCCAAGGTCACAAAGATTTACCCCCATGTTTTCGTCTAAGAGTTTTATAGTTTTAGCTCTCAAATTCTTTAAATTTAAATTAGTTAAAATTAAATAACATGTAGAATTCAGTACCTCAGTGCACTCCCACATTTCAGGTGCTCGTGTGGCTAATGTCACCACATTGGTCAGTGTAGATGCAGAACATTTCCAGAATATTTCCATCAACACAGGAAGTTCTTTTGGACACACAAACACCCTCAAATCCCTTTAAAAGAACATAGAAAATGAACTAAGCACTTGAACAGGTAGTTCACAAAGAAATAAATAAGTGGGCAAGCTCATATACATAAAATTGTTCAGATTTAAAGAAGTCTGAATTGAAACAGGTGGCATTTTTAGTCCCCAATACTGACAAACTTCCTTCAGGTCTTGACTCATTAGTCACACCAATGAAGCCTTCCCTGCCCGCCCTATTAAAACTTCAAGCCTAACCTCTCCATTTCCTGCCCTTTTTCCTTAGCTCTTACCATCAGTAGGCCATGTGCTTAACATACTTTTCTTGTTTATTGTCAGTCTCTCCCTCTTTACATGTAAAGCCTGTTTTACTCACTATTTATTGTCCTTCCAGTATCTGGAACAGTCCCAGATACAATAGAAACTCAGATATTGGTTGTTGAGAAAGCTGACAAGGTATAGAGAAACAAGTACTTTCATAGCCTGCTACCGAGTAAATCGGTCCAACCATTCTGGAAGTAGTTGTGTAGTATGTAAAAGTCTCAAAATTGTGCTTGCCCTTTGACCCGACATTTCTCCCTCTAGGTATTTATCACATACGGAAGTAATTAAGGGTGTGCTAGAAGATTCAGCCACAGTGGAACGCTTTTAAAACTCTTGAACTCTGACATATTGGAAGGAATGTAGATTGTTTTTGAAATGTGGCAAGAACTATTTTGCAGAATTGGTCAAAAGAGACCTTCCTTTCTCTCCTGATACCTTAGCTTTTAAAAATACTGTTTTGTTACTGACTTTTTAAACCTACTTCTTCCTAAAGCAAAACTAAAACTGACCTATCCAATTTTTCCACAGGTCCCTTAATATGGACTTTGAAAATCAAGATAAAGAGAAAGACAGTAACAGTTCTTCGGGGTCTTTCGGTGGCAACAGCAGCAATAATAGTAAGGCGCCTTATGTCAGTTAACTTTCATGCCTGTCGTCGCTTCTTGATTATTTCTGTAACCCAGTTCATCCACTGGGTTCAAGATGTACGTTCGCTGTAACAGAATCTAATCTGTATGGTATAATTTGTTAAGTTATTATGTTTTGAATCTGAGCTACTGATTTCCTGTGTGCTGCTTCTAACTCACGCCTAAAAGCTTGCTGTTGGGGTTCTTTATCTTCCCAAAGATAAGCAAGATAGATGACTATCTGCCCGTTTATGACTTCATTTCAGTATTTTGTTGAGGCTGATAATTTTGTTAGTAAATCATAAATTCATTCCGTGACTCTTAAGATAGCTACTTGAAGTACTTGTAAAAACTAAGTACTGTATCTTCTGAATTTAAAATCCTATAAGAATACTTGTTTAAAAAATACACAGAAGTGTGGTATATGGCAAATGCTCAGCAGCAGTATTCATAATAGCCAAAAAGTAGAAACAACTCACAGATCCATAAGATAGTGAATGGATTAACAAAATATGGCCTGTTTATCCATAATATACATGAAATGCTGTTCAGCATTGAAAAGAATGAAGTACATGCTGTACTATGGATGGAACTCAAAACACCGTGTTAAGTAAAAGAAGCCAGGCAGAAAAAAATACATATTGTATGAGTCATTTATATGAAATTTCCAAAAAGGCAAATACATAGAGACAGAAGGTAGATTAGTGGTTGCCTGGGCCTAGGGATGAGAATAATAAACTAACCTGGCATGAGGAAATCTTCTTGAGTTGATGAAAGTGTTCTAAAATTATTTTATGGGGATGGTTTCACACTTTGGTAAATTTACCACAAAAAATGAATTATACACTTAAACGAGTGAATTTTATAAATTGTACTTCAATATAGTGATAGAAAATTGGTAATCCTATCTAATAAAGAGGTAATATGCAAATTGACCATCACTCCAACAAACAAGAAGGCCAGCAGGGGAGGGCAGTTGTGGGTGATCAGGCCAGCAGGAGAGAGCAGTTGGGAGGGACCAGGCCTGCATGGGAGGGCAGTTGGGGGGGGACCTGGCCTGCAAGGGAGGGCAGTTGGGGCAGACCTGGCCTGCAAGGGAGGGCAGTTGGGGGGGGGGGACCTGGCACCGGGCCTGCAAGGGAGGGCAGGCAGTTGGGGGGGACTGGGTCGGCAGGGGAGAACAGTTGGGGGGAACCGGGCCGGCAGGGGAGGGCAGTTGGGGCAGACCTGGCCTGCAAGGGAGGGCAGTTGGGAGGGACCAGGCCTGCAGGGAAGGACAGTTAGGGGCGACCAGGCTGGCAGGGGAGGGCAGTTAGGGGCTATCGGCCGGCAGGGGAGTAGTTAGGCATTGATCAGGCTGGCAGGGGAGTGGTTAGAGGGTGAGGGTGATCAGGCTGGCAGGCAGAGCGGTTAGGGGCAATCAGGCAGGCAGGCGAGCAGTTGGGAGCCAGCAGTGCTTCCTCGAGGGGTCCCAGATTGGAGAGGGTACAGGCTGGGCTGAGGGACACCCTCCCCCCCATGCAATAATTTTGTGTACTGGGCCTCTAGTGTTTATTATAAAAAGAAAATGAATTAGCAATAAGGAGATTTGGTTTGATAATATTAAGAGATTGGTATTGGATATCTACTATGCATTTGGCATTCTCTGAAGTATATTGAAAGATGCAAAAATGTAAGAGCTGGTTCCCAAGCTGTCCCAGGGGCACTGTGGGCAAAATCATTTCCAAAGGGTGATAAATGCTAAGACAGACATAGCAAACACCGCTTCCCATCTGATACCTACAGTAGATACTTCTGACCCTTAACATAGCCTCAGAATCCTTCTGAACAAGCACTTACCAGCAACAGATCAAAGGAAATACTAGAGGTGAAGTCATTTTGACATGTATATACAAAGAGAGTAAAGAGAGCCCAGCTGGTATTGCTCAGTGGTTTAAGTGTAGACCCATGAACCAAGAGGTCCCGGTTCTATTCCCACGGGTTGTGGGCTCAGTCCCCGGTGTAGGGCATGCTGGGGGCAGCCAATCGATGATTCTCTCTCATCATTGAGGTTTCTGTCTCTCCTCCTTCCTCTCTGAAATCAATAAGAATATATTTTTTAAAGAAAGCGTAAAGAGAAAGGCAAGTCAGGGTGAGCAACAGTGAATCAGATTAGTGAGGGACTCTTTTTCCTAGAAAAGGTGAGTTTGACTTGAAACAGTGAACTTGGGATTGGTGGAGAAGTCGTTCCAGGTGGGAAGGACATAACAACAGGCACAGAGAGAGCAAGTATGACCTACAGGTTAACATCACCATTGAGTAAGGAGGAAATACTAGGGATCGAATATAAAGTTAGATTGAAATATCATGGAGGATCTTAGAGGTTAAATTGGAGATCACTTAATAGCTCAGCTCGGCCCGTTTGAAATGAATAAAACTAAAAAAAAAAAAAGACCGTACCCTTTTATGTAATGATGTTTACTTTGAATTTATATTAGTTCACACAAACACTCCATCCATGCTTTTGTTCTGGCCCTCCGGTCCAGTTTAAGAACCCATTGTGGCCCTCGAGTCAAAAAGTTTGCCCACCCCTGTAATAGCTACTTCAGTTTCTCTAGTTATTGTAATATCCCACCAATGAAATTATACTTGCCCAGTTTTCACCCAGTTAAATGTGTTGTCCCCAGTAATATAAAGTGTGCATGATAAATGCAGTGAGTAGAATCATTTAAGTATGAGTCTTTTCTTAAACTTATAACATAGATCCTCGTAGGAGGTAGAATGCCATACCAGTAAATTACCAGGAACCAGGTAAAACCCAGTGTCAAGATCTGATTTTCAGGTTAAATTATTAGTAGCTTGCTATCTATCAACATTGTAAGCCAAATCACTTTATACTAGTACTCTTTTTAAAAAAATATATATTTTATTGATTTTTTACAGAGAGGAAGGGAGAGGGATACAGAGTTAGAAACATCGATGAGAGAGAAACACCAATCAGCTGCCTCCTGCACACTCCCCACTGGGGATGTGCCCGCAACCAAGGTACATGCCCTTGACCGGAACCGAACCTGGGACGCTTGAGTCCGCAGGCCGACGCTCTATCCACTGAGCCAAACCGGTTAGGGCTATACTAGTACTCTTGAAACTCTTTTAAAAATCCTGTGTTATATAGCATATATGCAAATGATGTACTTACACCAGATTATAAATCTGTTCTACATTGCATCACAGAAACCTAAGAGAAATAAAATTAAGTACAATTTTATCCTCAAATAAATAAGTGGTTAAGTTAGTCCATATAGTGGAAAGAAGATATCTGCAACATCAGTTTTTAATTTCTCATTAACCAGCATGTAAAAAACAGGAAATGGTTGTTTAAATGGTCATTTTCTTAAGTCTACCTCCTATGTTATGCTGAATTATCCTCAACAAATATGTTTCTTCAGTGCCTAATCTGGGCCATGGATACCAAAAAGAAAAGCACAGATTAAGCTAGAATGCAGTCCACACTCCACATAATGAAAGAAATGACCATTGTAGAGAAGGCCAGTACTTGATTATGGAGCATGACACCATTCCAGACTTTGATTTTTTCTTTGATCAAAAATCAAAGAAATGATAGCCTGAAAGATGAACAGAGAAATGGAAGAGATTGGGTAGGTGCTAAACAGGTTGAAGTCACAAATGAGCAGCAGTGTAGAACTGGGGGGAAGCTTATAAGAAAAGGATTTAGTGTTGAAATTTTGGCAAGAGCCCTGGCCAGGGCCCCTCAGTTGGTGGGACATTGTCCCATGCAATGAAAGATTGCTAGTTTGATTCCCCGTCAGGGCACATGCCCTGGATTAGGGCTCCATCTCCAGTAGGGGGCGTGCAGGAGGCAGTCAAGATTGGTGTTTCCCTCTCCCTTCCTCTCTCTAAAAATCAATTTAAAAATCTTTAGAAAAACAGATTTTGGCAAGAATGTTCTGAACCGTTTGAAGGAGAAAGTGAATGGTAGAAAGAGGTTTCTTAAAGGTTGTAGTTGCCTACTCCCAAAATAAATAAGAATCAAGACATCAAAATGAGTGAACGACAGCTAGGCATAACAGCATGGATATTTCTCACAATGTTGAGTGGAAGAAGCCAGACACAAAAAAATACATATTACGTAATTCCATGTATATAATAAGTTTAAAAAGGCAAGATAAATACATAGTATTTTAAGGTGCATGCTTGGGTAGAAAACATATAAAGTAAAGCAAAGAAGAAAGACTCATGAAAGGCAGCTAACCCTTTGGAGGCAAGAGAGAGATTAGTGACGAGGAGGGCACAAGAAAGACTTCGGAGGTTGGCAAGGTTCTGTTTCTTGGCCTGGAAGAAATTAGCTATGTGATGATTCACTGTGCTCCTCACATTTGTTTCATATTCTTCTCTGTACGGGTGCTGTGTTTTACAATATAAAGAGTTAGAAAGGAGAGGGAGCGGTCCCTCAGGGTCCTCTAATTTTCCCTCCTCTTGCTCTTTCTCATCACTACGCCTGCCCCAAGAAGTCTATATAAAGATTTTTACCCCTGGCACATCAGTCCTTCATTTAATTAGTATTAAGTGGGGGGTTTTTAAGTGTCCCTCCCTTCCCATTATCTAATAAATTGAAGTCCTTTACTAGGTTTTCCATGTAATTTATTTTAACTACGAGGATTGATGGAAACATACAGTTGGAATTCTCTTCATTAAGAAGGACATACATCTTTATCTCCCCATCTACACTCTAAACTTTGTAAGATCTGGAAATGACTTTTTAAAATTCCTCATGTTACCTACTAGATAATAGGTGTTCAGTAAATACTTGGTTAAAAGCATGCTTCTCTCATGGAGGTACAAAATCAATAACTTTCTTCACAATTATCAGCAATACACTGTGTATTGCTTGATGTCTGCTAATTATATGACCAGACATATAATTAGCCTGTAGCCATGTTCACTGAATGCTAAACATGTCTCTGTACATAATTTGTAATTCTAACACCAGGCATTTTTCTTTTGTTGATGTTGGCTTTAAATACAATGCAGCTGCACTTAAGTCCTCCCAATTATGGCTGCTCTGTTTGCTTTGCTGTTTTGTTTTGATGTCCCTGGATTTTGGCTAAAATTGTTAATTACTAGCTCCTTTCCCTTCAGGACCATTTTCTACAGCCCTTTAGAAAGTGCGGTATTGAAGTTGTGTACACTGTATTAGGCAGCATATTGTTGGCAACTAAAGGGGCTTAACTTGTCGTGTGACACTGCTGTTTGGTAAGCTCTCTTGGGCACCCTTCCTTAAAACTAACGGTGGGAGCAGTGTCTAACACCCAAGTTAAAAATCTCTGCTTTCAAAAAAGAAAAAACTGCATTCAGTCTAATTCAAGAAAGGTTCTTTGTATTCAGTTTTGCGTTTTAATTGCAGAATGAATTTCTAAAATTTAGATTTATTATAAACAAATACTTCTCATGCCTGACTTACTAAACAGTGTTTGTTCTAGCCAGCCATTTAATTTTTCTGTTCATATTTTAAACGAATATAATTAACCTGTAGGCTATATGATGCTTCATTTTACAGAAAAGGGGGTGTATTTTAAGATTTATAGATTTTTAAAAGACTTGTTTTTACCTTATAATAAAAATTATTCATTTGAGAAACCATTATTTTCTGTTGTGAAAGGCACCTGAAATTTGTAGTTTCCTCTAGTTCTTTGAACTATTGTAGAACACTAAAAAAAACCCCACAAAACTAAGTGAAATATAGTTAGAGATTTCATAGAATTTTGTCTTATAAATGTCCATAAGCTACCCCCTTCCCCAACCCCACCAAATGATCCATAGGCTATAGTGAGTTACAGCATCCACCTCTTCAAAAGATCATTTCTGTTTGTCATTTTTTTTTTTTATTGATTTCAGAGAGGAAGGGAAAGAGAGATAGAAACATCAATGATGAGAAAGAATCATTGATGGGCTGCCTCCCGTATGCCACTTACTGGGGATTGAGCCCACAACCTGGACATGTGCCCTGACTGGGAATTGAACCCAGGACCCTTCAGTCCACAGGCCGACGCTCTACCCACTGAGCCAAACTGGCTGGGGATATTTATTTATTTATTTATTTTATTGATTTCAGAGAGGAAGGAAGAGGGAGAGAGAGAAACATCAGTGATGAGAGAGAATCATTGATTGGCTGCCTCTTGCACACCCCCTACTGGGGATGGAGCCTGCAACCCTGGCATGTGCCCTTGACTGGAATGGAACCCAGGACCTTCAGTCTGAGCTCAATCCACTAAGCCAAACCGGCTAGGGCTTCTGTTTGTCTTGACATATAGATCACTCTTCCTAAATTGAATTACTCTATTCCTAAGTGAATTATTTGACTCATCTACCCAGCTAATAAGCAGTTTTTTTTTGTAGAAATATTTAATATTTTATTTCACCAAAATCCCTAAATAATGTTCTTAGGGACGGGTAAGTTTACCGAAGAACAATTTTTTTAAATAATATATTTTACTGATTTTTTTTCAGAGAGGAAGGGAGAGAGATAGAGAGTTAGAAACATCGATGAGAGAGAAACATCGATCAGCTGCCTCCTGCACACCTCCTACTGGGGATGTGCCCGCAACCCAGGTACATGCCCTTGACCGGAATCGAACCAGGGACCTTTCAGTCCGCAGGCCGACGCTGTATCCACTGAGCCAAACCGGTTTCAGCCCGAAGAACAATTTTTAAATGTTGGTTGCTAATTGCAACCCTTTGTGTCTAGTTATGTTCATCCTGGGTTTGAGGCTGGGCATTGTAATTTTTTCTAAACTCCCCAAGGTGATTCTGATGATCAGCCAAGAACAGAGAACCACGGTGCTAAATACTATTTGTTCCTTAAAATGTTCCCACAAGATTTTTCTAATCTGCTGTTTTCAGATGTTTTGTTCTCTCCCTTTCCCCACCCCCAAAGTCAGTCCTCAACTATTAGCAACAGTGAGGAAGTGTTATTAACATCAGCACATTAAACCCACGGATGATGAGAAATAATTTTAGTCAGTGGGTTTAAACTACCTTTTACCAAGCCTATACACAAGACCCCAAATGCACTCAAATTGACAACTCTGAATGTTTACTACCTTCGAATGTTCTTGATTTCGTTTCTATTTTGTTTTTGGCACCCTGTCACCCAGATGGTTAGCACCTTAGTTCAACAAGTATTTTTTGAGCAGCTACTATAATGAAGGCATTCTGAGGAGAGCAAGTAGTTTATGGTCTCATCGGGCAAGAAAGATTTAGGAGGCCTACAGAATCTGTATCTTATATACTAGTCCCTAGAACTGTCTGCATTCTAATAAGTTAATGTATCTAAAGTACATGACATGCTGTACATTAATATGTTCCCTTTTCTCTCTTTTAGGTATCCAAACTATTGACTCTACCCAGGCCCTGTTCCTTCCAATTGGAGCATCTGTCTCTCTCCTAGTTATGTTCTTCTTCTTTGACTCAGTTCAAGTAGTTTTTACAATATGTACAGCAGGTAAATTAATTTCTGTCTATTCTTAACATTAACCTAAAAGGAAATGTGTTCACCATTTTTTATCATCATTCAAAAGTTAAGATTTATACACTATGCCATTCATCAAGTTTTTCTTCATAAGTCTGGCTTTTCCTCCTCTAACCCCTCCTTGAACCACTTGAGACACATATTTCAAACCTGCCAACATATCTGAACAAAAGGCCAGGGGTTGAAACCTGGTGAGCTTTATGACACCAGAGCAGATCACTTTGGCTATGGCTCCTTGTCTGGTAGCTTACTAGAAACCATTTTGGCTGAGTGGTCATTGGCAACCCTGACTGATGTTTCCACAGATAGAAACATTGATATCTAATCAAGGTAATTCAACTGTCAGCTCTCTGATCAGTTTTTAAGCTAAGCAGTGATGGAAATGTATAATATATGAACAAAATGCTAGATTTGTTAGGAGTTAACCCCCTCACCTGATATTTATCTTTTCTTGTTGAGATAGAAGAGAATGAGAAAATCTACCTATGCTTCCCCTACTCTGTTCAAATCAGGCACTTAAAAAAAAAAAAAAAGCTTATCTGTGCGATGCTAAAGGGAAATACTTTTCTTCTCTGGTTAATTTGATTGTATCTATTTGCTGAGAAAAGTATTCTGGGAAATGATTAAGTTTCCATAAGTCATGCCATTTTTTATAATGGAAAAATAAATCATACACAACAAAATTTAACTATACATTTTCTCTCTGTAGTTCTTGCAACGATAGCTTTTGCTTTTCTTCTTCTCCCGATGTGCCAGTATTTAACAAGACCCTGTTCACCTCAGAACAAGTAAGTTCGGGATTTCCCCTAAGTTATAAACTTGTGTGTTTTTTTTCACACTTGCTAGCATTATTAGGAGCCTAAAATTTTTTTTTTAATTTTATTGATTGATGAGAGAGAGATTTGTTCCACTTATTTGTTCATTCATTGGTTGCTTCTTGTATGTGCTCTGACCGTGGTTAGAACCCACAACCTTTGCATATTGAGCTAGCTGGCCAGGGCCAGGTCTAAATTTCTTGGTCCTGTATTTTCTGGAGCTCACACATGCTAGAAAACTGGGAAGTGAGATGTTTGATTTTTAAAATTGGAAGATAGTAGCACTTCCTTTTGCACCTTCTCATAGCAAAGGAAATATAAACAAATCCTAGGAAGTCAGAGTCGTCGTAATATGCTTCCTGCTTAGCTTATTGAAAGATGAGAATTTTCCTTTTAAAGCAACACTTTCATTCTTTTACTAGTGAGTGAGTGGGATCTGAAAATAGTGGTTGACTCTGACATTCTTTGCCTTTTATCTTTGGTGACCTAGAATCACTTAGGTTTAATCCCATTGTTCACACCTTAACCCCTACAGCTGTTGCTCCATGGAAACAGAAGTCTCCTGTTGACGGAGATGCTGTGTGCACTTGGGAAACTATCACTTGAGGCAGCTGATATTCCCAGGAATTAGTGATAATCAGATAGATTTATTATCTTATAGTATTAAATCATCTTTGCTAAATGAATTGAATTAGTAACGTTCCTAAATATTTTCCTCATACAATAGAATTTTCCCTGTACTTAGAATCTTCAAAGATTGATGTTGTCACTTTAAATTTCTAAAAACCCATGTTGATAATTTGGGATAAAAAGTACATTATCAGCCCTGGCCGGTTTGTCTCAGTGGATAGAGTGAGTGTTGGGCTGCCGACTGAAGGGTCCCGGGTTTGATTCCGGTCAAGGGCACATGCCTGGGCTGCGGGCTCAATCCCCCGTAGGGGGCACGCAGGAGGCAGCCCATCAATGATTCTCTCTCATCGATATTTCTCTCTCCCTCTCCCTTCCTCTCTGAAATCAATAAAAATATATATATTTTTAAAAGTACATTATCAGATGGGTTCAGACTCTGGTTTACTCTAAAGAGGTTTGGGTATTTTTATATCAGGGATCTCGTTATTTGCCTCCTACTCTAATATGGCCCTAATGAACCCTGATCATGAAGAGAGCTTGGTTAGTGAATAACATTTATTGCCCATTAGTCCAGTAAATGTCATGTGTTCCAGGATTTCCTTTGGCTGCTGTGGACGTTTCACTGCTGCTGAGCTGCTATCATTCTCTCTGTCTGTCATGCTTGTCCTCATCTGGGTTCTCACTGGCCATTGGCTTCTCATGGATGGTGAGTAACTAACATGTGAGAAGTTAAAATTCCAATTTAGTTTATAAGTAGTTACATTGGGTCCCCCCTTCCTCTGCTGTCCATGTATTAGTCATACTACTTTTGATTACCATGGATATTAGGTATCCAAAGGTAGTGTTACTGAGGTTTTTTTTATTATTTTTACCCACATTTTAAAGATTTTTTAAGAAGAGCTTTTTTGAGGTATAATTCACATACATACCACATATAACTTACCTATTTAAAGTGTATGATTCAGTGGTTTTTAGTATAATCACAGAGTTGTACAACCATCACTACAGTTGATTTTAGTGCATTTTTATCACCCACCCTCTAAAACAGCGGTCGCCACTGGTGGTCCGTGCGGTCTGGAAGTTGGCGACTGCTGCTCTAAACACATCCCCAGCAGCAGTTACTGTCCCATCCCCCCACCCAGGCCAGTCACCCACTGGTCTACCTTGTGTCTCTGAATTTGCCTCTTCTGGACAGTTCAGAACCAAGGATGTCCTTCTGCTCATGGTCAAATTGGATAGAATTTAACAAAAAGGATTTTAAACTCTATTTTCCCCCCCCCTGTAGTCCGGAATCAATAACATAGTCTTAATAGAGAAGAAATTTTAAACCTAAGGGAAACTAAAATCTTATTCTTCTATTTTAAGAGATTTTTTTCTCTCATAACTTATTTTAACCAGTGGAAGGATTTGAAATTTATATGTACCAAATTAACTAGTGAAAAAACTCTAAGAAGCTGCATATTAACAGGGAAGAAACTATAGAGTGGATTGTAAGCTCTGTAAAATTATATTTGAATGGCATATGTTATTTTAATCAAAGGTGATAATTACAGAAAAAGTACTTTTTTAAAAAACATACAGAATATATGATATACTTATTTTACTTATTTTTAAATATGTTTTTTGCTTAAGAAGATAAAATTATAGTGATGGAGAATAGATAAGTGATTATGTGGAGAGAAGAGTTTGAATATAAAGAAATAGCACAGGGATTTTATTGGGGTGGTACAGCTGTTCCACACACTGCGTGTGGTGGTAGTTCTATAAATCTGTTAGAATTCGCAGAATCATACATCTAAAGAACAACTCTCAATTTTACTGTTTGATAACGTTAAAAATTTTAAACATATATATTTGTAACTATATAAATACATCATTTGTTTGTATATATTTGTTGTCATAGTTATTAAAAAAATTTTTTTTTTGAGTGCCTACCATATACCAAATATTCAAAGTCAAAAGCGGTTCCCTGAGGTTACAGGTCAGGTTAACCTTTAGACTTGCATCCAGTCTTTAATGACGCAGAATGGGAAGACCGGGTCAAAATCACCAGTGCCTGCTCCCTGCTGTGATTCACCTTGGCTGATTTCTGACAACTTTGGTCTTGTTTTAGCACCAGACATTGCCATATAAAAAATATTCACTGTGATCATTTGCTTCAGAAATTCGGTGCCCAGGTTGCATTGGTTAAACTACCCTTGTGAACAAGTATAGAGTTTTCCCTCAAAAAAAAAAAGCGGGGGTGGAGGGGAGCCTTTGAGCTTTTTAATTGTTTTTCAGATTAATGATTAGTGTGTGTTTTCTCCTATTATAGGAAATGTAGCTTTCTAGCCATGGTCTTTAACGTTCTCAAATATGTTTTTCTCTGATGGAGAAATTATCTTTCCAGACTTTTCTGCAGCATCAGAAATCTTCTGGTAGGCAGTGATTTGGTGGTAGTTTTTTTAAATGAGTGTTTCTTAATTAAAGCCTATTCTTTGAAGTTAATTTAGAGTGAAAACAGAATGGTAAATGTGGTTGTTTTAGGGCTAGGCATGATGTATATTTTCAGGGTTATACTAAGAAGCATTAATATTAAGAAGAAATTTAACAGTTTTCTTGAACTAAATCTAGAGCTTTTTTTAATCTACTCTGTTTCATCTGGTAAATTAACCTTTTAAATTTGGGGAAGCTTGAAGGGTTTGACCAATAGGTGGTGTGGCGTGTTAGCGAAAAGCTGATGAATCTGGTGCCCACATACCTAGTGTTCAAGAGTCGCTTGACCAGGATCACAGTCTGCATCCCCTGACCAGTTCAGAGACTAGAAGAGTCTTCACAGATGTCTAGCCAGCCCTTCACTCTACAGCACTTGCCTCTAAGCTGTGATTGGAAAATGTTTAGTGTCAGAAATCTAGAAATTAGTTTTTTTGTTTTAAGATACTAGACTCTAAGTGCCAGAGTCTTAGAGTCTAGTCGCAGGGGAGGGCAAACTTTTTGACTCGAGGGCCACAATGGGTTCTTAAACTGGACCGGAGGGCCGGAACAAAAGCATGGATGGAGTGTTTGTGTGAACTAATATAAATTCAAAGTAAACATCATTACATAAAAGGGTACGGTCTTTTTTTTTTTTAGTTTTATTCATTTCAAACGGGCCGTAGTTTGCCCACGGCTGGTCTAGTGTCTAGAGATCTTAGAAGCAAGACTGCTTAAGACCTTATAAGTCACATAATCCTTTTCAAGAACATTTAAGCTCAGTTTGGTGTCATTGTCTTTGTCCTTCGCCTTCTGGTTGTGGAAGACAAGGTAATAGTAGAGATTATATCAATAATAAATTGAAAGTAATTATAACGAAGTAGCTAAGATTAATAATTTACTTCCTAACACTGCTGCTTCATTTACATTTAACCAGAAGGTAAGTTTGTTGGTGAAACTATCAGGGAGTCTTGGAGCTTCTCAAGCAGCATGGAGCAAGGGAAGGCATCATTTCTCTTCATTTGGGCTGGGAAAAGCCCTTAGGACAGCGGTTCTCAACCTGTGGGTCGCGACCCCTTTGGCGGTCGAACGACCCTTTCACAGGGGTCACCTAAGACCATCCTGCATATCACATATTTACATTACGATTCATAACAGTAGCAACATTACAGTTATGAAGTAGTAACGAAAATAATTTTATGGTTGGGTCACAACATGAGGAACTGTATTTAAAGGGCCAGAAGGTTGAGAACCACTGCCTTAGGAGAAAGGAAGATGGTTCAGAGTTACATGAATGAAAGAATGAAGAAAAAGAGAGGCAAACTAGATGAAGAGTTGTTTCAGTGGTAAGACATAGCTGGTAGCAATATTCATTTGGGTTTAGGAGTGATATTCATTCAAAAGACTTATATTAAGAACCTTCTCTGAAGTGCTCAAAAGGGATGCTTTCTGCCTCTTCAAACATGGAACTTCAAGGACAGTGGGGAGACTTGGTTGGCATGGAAAGAGGTTATTGCTCACTGGAGAGGAGGAGAGGTTGAAGAATAGGAATAGCCCTGCCGGTGTGGCTCTGGTTGAGCTTCAACCCATGAACCAGGAGGTCACGGTTCGATTCCTGGTCAGGGCACATGCCCGGGTTGTGAGCTCGATCCCCCGCAGGGGCCATGCAGGAGGCAGCCAATCAATGATTCTCTCTCATCATTGATTCTCTCTCATCATTGATGTTTCTGTTTCTCCCTCTCCTTCCTGTCTCTCAAATCAATTATTTTTAAAAAAGAAAGAAAAGAATAGAAATACAGGGAGATGGACCCTGTGGCCAAGCCTGTGTGCACAGCACTGTTCTGTGTGAGCTGTGCCTGAGGGTGCATGGCTGTGTCATAGACTTGATCCCCTCAGAGGAGGGAGCCTGGGGGCCTTCGGGCAGGACATGATGTGAACTGATTTTTACAATGGCCGTGAAGAGGACTGGGAGAGGAAGTGTGGGGAAGCGAGACCAAGGTTTGCAGTAACAATAAGGACTCACACCACACAATGGCTCCCAAGTGAGGTACATAAATGAAAGACGTGATAAACTGAAAATGAACTCAGAGTTTCTTGTTTGGAAGCTTAGAGATAGAATGACATTGTCTAGAGCAGCGATTTTTAACTGGTGTGCTGCGAGAATGTTTAAAACATGCAATACCTGACTGTTAGGGGCACGGACCTCTTTTCCCTTAGATTGTCAAATTAAAAAATGGCAACAGCCAACACAACAATAGCTGTCCAGTGTGAGGTAATCAAAATTATACCTATTTTTCTTGTCAGATTGGCAAAAAAAAAAATATTTTTTGGTGTGCTGCAGAATTTTAGTAATTAGTTTATGGGTGCCATGAGATGAAACGTTGGAAAATCGCTGGTCTAGAGTCATGGAAAATTCTGTCACTGAGCAGTTGTCTTGTCAATGCTTGGTTTGACCTAGGTAAGTAGGTTTAGCATAAGATGAGTGATTAGGCATTGAGTGATGCTTAGAGACCTGTCAAGGTTCCCGCTGGTTTAGGATTAAGTGATTGAATGGTCAGTTGAATAGGAAAGTTCTGAATGGACCAGTCACCTGCATGTGTTAGAGGCAGATACATTGAACCTTGGGGGCCTGCCCTTTTGCTTGTCTGCCCAGTGGGCTCCCGTACCCTCTGTCAATTACCAGCAGACGGTCCTCTGACCCTCACCGCCCACCGCAGGTCTTCATTCTTCCTTTGTTCCCTTGATGCTTTCCACTCCATGTACTCACTTGTAAGTTCCTGAAAAGATCACCGTCACTGCGGCCAGCATTCCTAGTTTGGTCTGGTCTCTGGTCATTAGTTCCCAGCCTCTGTCCAGGGGCTCCCTTCCTCACTGACCACTCCTGCTCCTCGGGCCAGCAGAGCTTATGCTGCCAGATTATTTATTGACAGCACAGACAAACCTCGTTATTAAAAAATTAGTGGGGGACGATTATAAGGGGCTCTTAAGTACATTTCTTCACGCCTTAAACATATTTCAGCTTGCAACTTGAAAAGTTTCCATCTTTGCAAAGCCTAATTGACTAGCACAGTCCGTTATATTCCTTTGAAATGGCATGAATTGGCATATATTTTACCAGTTTGGTTCTGAAGGAGACCCTAGTAAAATGGCATCTAGATTATTATAAAGTCAGGCATTAGGTCTTCATTACCTCTCTCCAAAATACCCACTGGAGCCAGGTGAATGCCTGATCATAAAAATGACAGGAGGAATAGAGATAGTTTTTCTTCCTAATTTTACTGTTTTTCCAACCCTTCCCTGTTGTCGGGATGGGAATTACTTTTCTCTTCTGTTTATGCGACGCCACCTAAAGTGGGAACTCATTAAATATTGTTGAATTGCTGTGTCCTGGGTATGCCCGACTGTTACACGTGATGCCTCGTTTTATTACGTTTCACTTTATTGGGCTTCACAGATACTGCATTTTTCACAAACTGAAGGCGGACCCTCCGCTAGCAAAAAGAGAATGACCCTTTATTGTGATACTCACTTTATTGTGGTAGTCTAGTCTGCGACCAAACCCATAATGCCTCTCAGCTATGCCTGTATCTGCCCACTTTGTTACATACATTGACAATTTAACGAATTTTTTTAAATGATACACACCTGTAATATGGCTTTACTCACTTTTCTTAGACTAATTTGGAATTTGAAGCTGATAGAACATAATTTTTCATTTATTCAGCAAATATTTGTTGAATGTCTACTCTGTCAGTTGCTGGGGATCCAGAGGAACAGATAAGCCATGGTTTCTGTTACTAGGAGCACACAGCTTAGGGAATAAACTACGTGTGTATAAATAATGATACTATTGTAAATGGATGCAAAGAAAACAGCAACTTCATCTGGCCAGGTCAGGAAGGCTTTCTGTCCTGGCCTCTTAAGAACGAGGATGAATTTTCCAGGGAAGAAGCCCAGGTCAGGGCCCTGTGAGCAGAGCATGAAAGAACATGGTGTGTGTTGAACAGTGCATCACATTCGAGTGGCCTCGGAGCAGCAGGAAGTGCACACTGTGGGCAAGGGCTGCACAGTGGAGAGTGCCCTCCTGTTCCTTCCTGCAGGGCCTGGCCGAGCAGTTCTCCTGGCATCCACTTCAGGGAGAACCCACAGGAATCTGTAGGAGGGAGAGAACTGGAGGCAAGGAGAGACCATTCATCTGCCAGGCCGTCCTAGACTCCAGGGATAGGATGGGAGCTTTGCCCTCGAGGACCTTACATTTTAGTTGTGAGGAGAGAGAATTTTAAAAAGATACATCATGTACCAGATTTTGAGAGGTGCAAGGATAGAGGAATGAATTGCTGGAACAGTGTCCCTGAGTAAATGAAAGGGGATGCCATAGAGGCTGAGTTAACTTGAAAGCAAGGAGCAAGGATGATGAATCTGCAGTGATGGGGGAGGTAGAAGCCAGAAGGCCCAGGCTGAGCCTGTCTTGGAGCTTCATCAAAACAGAACCTCCTGGGTCCTATAGTGTGAGAGAAGGGATTTCCCCAAATACCAGCAGGTCACAACGGGCTGACGTGGGCACTTTTGCACTGTAGGGTGTACATTCTTAGACCAGAGCTGAAGGCTGCCTGATTTTTGAGGGGACTTAACACTTTGTTGGGTTTACAAGCGAATAGCTTGTGGAAAGGGGATGGGCCTGCGCTGCACACTGACTGCTGTCCCCTCCCCAGCCCTGGCCATGGGTCTCTGTGTCGCCATGATCGCCTTCGTCCGCCTGCCCAGCCTCAAGGTCTCCTGCCTGCTTCTCTCAGGGCTCCTAATCTATGATGTCTTTTGGGTAAGTGTCTGTTGAAGCCACTGCTCTCCTTTGTGTTTAATTGGGGTCAAGCATCTAAAGTCTGGCTGGCCGGGGTACCTCCTGTCTACAGCCACTCCCTCCAGTCCTGAGCTGTCTGTGTTACAAGGTGAGCCGGCAGCTGGTTGACATGTGTTACAGAAGACAATACATGATAGTTATGGTGGAAGAGGGAGTAGGCAGAGTTCTCTGCCTCAGAGCATGCAGTCACAAAAGCTTGATGGCCCTCGCCGATTCGGCTCAGTGGATAGAGCATCAGCCCGAGAAGCGAAGGGTCCCGGTTCAATTCCCGTCAAGGGCAGGCACCTTGGTTGCAGGCTCCATTGCCAGCCCTGATGTTGGGGGTGTGCAGGAGGCAACCAATCAATGTCTCTCTCACATCGTTGTTTCTCTCTCTCTGTCTCTTCCTAAAAATCAATGGAAAAATATCCCCGGGTGAGGATTAACAAAAACAAAGGCTTGCTGTCACAGTTTTGTGCAGCTCTGCTCTTACGAACAAAAAGGACAGGTTGCTCTAGCTCCCTCTCTTAAAGGAGACTCTCCCCTCGCCAGGTGTTTTTCTCTGCCTACATCTTCAATAGCAACGTCATGGTGAAGGTGGCCACCCAGCCGGCTGACAATCCCCTCGATGTGCTTTCCCGGAAGCTGCACTTGGGGCCCAATGTTGGGCGCGACGTTCCTCGCCTGTCTCTGCCTGGAAAACTGGTTTTCCCGAGGTAGGACTGACACGCCAGGCTCATGACAGCCAGCGCACGGCCTTCCGGTGCCTTGATTAGTCGGTCTTTGTCATCCACAGTCTAATCCTAGACTAGAAAGGGTGAGTCAGCATCTCCATCTTACAAAAGGAAGAGAATGTTGACTTGCAAAGGTTTATCACTAAGGGATACAGGTGCTGCTTTTTATTATTGATTAATGTTCTCAAGTAACCATAGGTTACTACTATTAATTCTCTCCAGCCAACTTCAAAATATATTAACAGGAGATTCTGGATCTTTTTACTTCTAAGACATTTGTAAAAATACATCCTAATGCTTAAATTACATAGTTCCTGGTAATAGAATCCTGAAAAAATTACTGTGTTGCTTTAATCTCCTGTGTCTGGTGGTAGTTGGGTGCTTATTTGATGTCTCAGCAGTGAAGGTGTGACAAAGAGTGAATTGCGTGGCATTTCTAGAGACGGCAGTGCTTGTGCAGTCATCTACAAGGTGCTCTCCGAAGCACCGAGGGGCGGGGGGAAGACTTCTTTCTGTTGCTAGTGCTCTTGTGGCTTTTAATCTCGAAACTCTTAAAACCTCACATGCAACCAGTAGAGATTCCCATCTACCATTCAGATAAGTTCTCTGACTTCTTAAAATGCTGACAAACTGCCCCGAGGAGGAGAGGAGGGTTTTACAGCGTGGCATCCCTGACCTGTGACACTGCCTTCCAGCTCCACTGGCAGCCACTTCTCCATGTTGGGCATTGGAGACATTGTGATGCCCGGACTCCTGTTGTGCTTTGTCCTTCGTTATGACAACTACAAAAAACAAGCCAACGGTGACTCCTGCGGCGCCTCTGGACCCGCCAACATCTCTGGACGCATGCAGAAGGTCTCCTACTTTCACTGCACCCTCATCGGATACTTTGTAGGTAAGAGAATCAGACACTGCATTTGGATCCCCTCTCTGGCTGTCCTCCCCCCTGGAATTAAACCAGGTCTTCTAGCTGCAGACCCTGGATAGAAGGAGAGCAGCAGCTGCTTGCTGTTAATAGATAACCACCCAGGAAAATGCCCCTCAAGCCCATGAGATGATCGGTGCTGACTGCTGGCCAGCCCAGTTCGCTGTCTGAAGAACATCGTAGTAAGAGTACGGTTTGGCCTCAAAGCCAAGAACACCTACCACACAATGATCATGGGTCGGTCTACATGCTTCATTACAAATCTCAAGCTTATTGAAGTCGTGTATATTTCCCTTCATCTGTTCTGTCACGGCAGACTCTCCCTAGGCTAGGTTTCTCCAGCCAGCTCACCTACCGGCAGGTAGGAATAGTGGTAACCCGTCTGCCACTGCAATGCCTCCTACAGCAGGACTTCACTAATTCCATTGCACTTTCATATACATGGTTCATTTCCGTCTCAAATTCTGAGGGGGACAGAGCAAAGGTGTTACCCCCATCAGACAAATGGGGGAAGGCTCCACGAGGTGAAATGTCTTAACCAAGGTTACAAAGGTTTGGAAGTAGCAGAGTTGAAACTTGAACTCTGCTACTTCCAAGTCTTTTGCCTCCAAGTCTAACATCACATACCACAGTAGACAGAGGGAGGCCAGGCACACTGAGGGCTGAAGTGAGTTCGTCACAGGTCCTTGGAGTTGAAGGATTTCTTTTTAAGCTGTGCTGTCCATGTCTCTTTTAACTGCTCGAACCAGACATTTATAACCTACCCATTGGATGGATATGCCTGTTACCTAGATGTGTCTTGGCACCAGAGGTTGTATGTATCTAATGTGACAGTCTCCTCTCAGGGCTGGCCCCTTGCCCTTACTCTCAAATGCTTCTCTATCCTCATAGGTCTGCTCACTGCTACTGTGGCATCTCGCATTCACCGAGCAGCACAGCCTGCCCTCCTCTATTTGGTGCCATTTACCTTATTGCCACTCCTCACAATGGCCTACTTAAAGGTGAGAGAAGCAGTTAGAAACCTGTGAGAGCAATAACTTGGCATTGGTCCTGGATTTGGGTATGTATGCTCCTTGCTGGAGGTGATTCTACCTAAGCTCCTGATCTTGACAGTGGGGTCTTGTTCTTTCATTTTATTAACCTGATATTAGCATCTTCCAGATTCTGGCAGCACTGGGTTAGACCACTGTGCCCCCTGCTCCTGGGTTATTAACGGGATCCTGCAGCTCCAGGGACTTCTCGTAAAAGCAGCACCCTGTTGCCACCAACAGCTCTTTAATGCTCTGCGTTCAGGTTTGAAGTAGGAGCAAGCAGCAGGGCCAACACACCCACCTGGCCTTTCTCCAGCGAGCTGCTCTGCAGGCAGGCCTAGTGCCCCAGGTGCTGTAGTGCCTGCTTGGCTACACGTGGCTTTCCAAAACTACCAGGCACTTAACACCTGCACAGAGGTCTCTCCTACAGGGGACCACTCAGTACAGCAAACCAGATAAAGAGTAGGGAGCCGAGGAGTTCCCCGGGGCCAGAGGGGCCGGTGAGCACCATCATTGACGTTTCCTCTCTCCACCTCCATACGGTGGGTAGGGCTCTGTCCTGCCTGCAAGGTCTCTGCACTGTGTTCCTGGACACATGGCTGGAGCTATTTCTGCCTGAACAAAGGAGCAGGCAGGATCAACAGGCCATTATTGCACGCACCTGGCCTCCCCCTCTGGCGGTGCTCCAGCTCAGCAGGCCACTGCCCCAGACCTTAAGCAGCCACTCAGCTCCTGGCGACCTGCTGAAACCACCCTGCAGGCACAGTCCACACACAGCACACAGAGCCCCTCCCGAAGGCTGCAGGAGATGGCAGTTTTCTCTAACGCATAGAAGCCAACATAGAAAGCCAAGAAAACAGAGATAATTAACTAAACAAGGGTAGTTTACGGAACCTCTGAAAACATCAAGTGCTCAAGTGTTTGCATTATAGGGATCCTAGAGAGAGAAAGGAACATAAACTTTATTTTAATATGGAACGCGTCACGAATTTGCGTGTCATCCTTGCACAGGGGCCATGCTAATCTTCTCTGTATCGTTCCAAATTTTAAAAAGCAATGGCTGAAAACTTTTCTAACCTGGGAAAGGAAACGGATATCCAGGCTTAGGAAGCACAGAGAGTTCCAAACAAGATGAGCCCAAAAGACGCACACAAACACACAGTGTAGTTAAAATGACAAAAGTTATAGACACAATCTTGAAGGAAGCAAGAGAAAAACAAGAAAGGAATCTACAACCTAGAATCATTTACCCAGTAAGGTTATTCAGAATCAATTGAGAGAAAAAAGAGTTTCCCAGACAAGCAAACACAAAAGTACTTCATCGCCATTAAACCAGCTTTACAAGAAATGTTAAAGGGTCTTTAAATAGAAAAGGAAAGACCATAACCAGAAATATCAAATACCGAAAACCTCCGTATAGGCAGATATTCAATAAATACAGCAAATCAGACAAAAGCTATGACAAAGGATGAAAGAAAAAATTAAACTTCAATAAGTAGTTTGGAGATATACAAACACAAAAAAATTTAAAATATGACATCAAGAACATAAAGCATGGAGGGGGTGTAAGAATGTACTTATAGAATATATGTAGGGTGGAACAAAAGTAGGTTTATCATTGTTCATCTATAAATATAAAAGCCTAAGTGGCTGTCCAACTGGTAGCTATAATGCACACTGACCACCAGGGGGCAGAGAGTCAACGCAGGAGCTGCTGAGCTGTGGAGACTTGGCAGCTGCGGTTCTCAGGTGACACACTGGACACACTGGAACTAGAGAGGAGGGAGCCTGATCCCGGGGTGCATCACCCAAGAACCGCCCTCTCACAATCTGGGACTCCTTAGGGGATGTCAAAGAGCCGGTTTCAGCCCAATCCCCACAGGCCAGGCCGAGGGACCCCACCGGTACATGAATCTGTGCACCGGGCCTCTAGTATAAAAATAAAATATCCTATCTAATATAAAGCGGGAATATGCTAATTGACTGCCACACCCTCACAAGATGGCAGCACCCAGTCCCCTCAGCCCTGCCTCATCCAGCCTCAGTCCCACCTCACCCAGTCCCCTGCAGCATCCAGCCTATCCCCCAGCCCCCTCAGCCCCACAGGGGAAGGCAGTTGGGGATGATCATGCTGGCAGGGGAGCAGTTAGACGTCAATCAGGCGGGCAGGCAGAATGGTTAGGGGTAATCAGGCAGGCAGGCCAGTGGTTAGAAGCCAGGAGTCCCTGTGGGATCAGGCCTAAACCGGCAGTCGGACATCCCCTGAGGGGTCCCAGATTGGAGAGGGTGCAGGCTGGGCTGAGGGACACCCTCTCCCCCTCCCATGCACGAATTTTGTGCACCAGGCCTCTATTTTAATACATAATACTACAAGAATAAACTCTTTCACATACCCATAATTGTAAACCTACTTTTGCCTCACCCTCTGTACTTTAACACCTATCAGTTTAAAATAGACTGCTATACATAAATATCATGGTTAACGAAAAACCTACAAAAGATATATACAAAAAGAAACCTAAACTAAACAAACCAGTAAAGCACAAGGGAAGAGATCAAGAGAAGAAGAAAGGAATAGAGGACAAGTACAAAACTGGACAAAATGGCCTAAGTACATGCTTATCAGTAGCTATTTTAAACTAGAGGCCCGATGCACAAAATTCATGCAAGGGGCTCAGCCCTCGCGGCCCCGGCTACCTCTCAGCCCCACAGCCCTGCCCACTGGTCATTCCGAAAGGTCTTTCCACAGTCCGATCTAATTAGCATATTAGCTCTTTATTATATAGGATGTAAATGGACTAAATGCTCCAATAAAAAGACGTAGGGTGGCTGAATGCTGCTTACTTCAATTTCAAAGACATAGACTGAATGTAAAGGGATGAAAAAAGATATCCCATGCAAACAAAAATGAAAAGAAAGCTGAAGTAACAATATTTTTGTCAGATTAAATAGATAAAAAAAAGAGAAAGAAGGACATTTCATAATTGTAAAGGAGTAATCCAAGAAGAGGATATAATAATTGTAAATATCTGTGCATCTAAAGTATATAGGGTGTCCCAAAATTCACACAAGAAGTAATTTTGATAGAAAACACAGGTTTATAATTAAAAATTGTAAATTTTTTATTGATTCATAAAGTATACAGTATAGGATTATGTATGGAATAGCACATCGGGTCAATGGCCTCCACGGCTTTGCTGGCACATACGCACTCTTTTGTTGAAATTTTCCATGACCGTTTTGCATAAATGTGGCTGAATTTTGTTGATACAGCGCAATTTCCTCCTTCAAGGCGTGGGTGGTCGTGGGCTTGTTGGCATAAACCTTAGACTTCAAAAAACCCCAAAGAAAAAAGTCCAACGGCACTAAATCGCATGATCTGGGCGGCCAATTCTGATCACCAAAACGGGAAATTATACGACCAGGAAATGACTCATGCAGTAATTGAATTGTTTCTCAGGCTGTATGGCATGTGGCACCATCTTGTTGAAACCACATGTTGTCCACATCCATATCTTGCAATTTAGGCACAAAAAACTGGATTATCATGTCGCGATAGCGAGCACCATTAACTGTTATTGCCTGAGCAGCCGCATTTCGGTCATGGAAAATTTCAACAAAAGTACAGTATAGGATTATGTATGGAATAGCACATCGGGTAAATGGCCTCCACGGCTTTGCTGGCACATACGCAAAACCGTGGTCTTCATTGGTCTTCATTGTCCCTGCTCCTGGGCCATAATTGGTACTTGGTCATGCTTAGCAAATTGAAGGGATTGAAATCAAAGGGCAACAGATATTAGAATCTGATTCAATAAACCAAGTAAAATTCGGCTTTTATTTTTTGTTGTTGTTAATGCTCACGCAAAATTCAAAACTTGTGTGAATTTTGGGACACCCTATATAAAGCAATTATTAATGGACATAAAGGGAGAAATTAACAGTAATACAATAATAGTAGGGATTTTAATACCCCATTCACATGAATGGATAATTATCCAGACAGAAAATAAATGAAATAATGACCTTAAATGTCATTAGATGAGATTGATTTAATAGAATATTTTATCACAACTTTTCAAAATTTGTGGTATGCACCAAAAGTAGTTCCAGGAGGGAAGTTCATAGCTGTACAGGCCTCCCTCAAGGAACAAGGGAACTCTCAAACCATCTAAACTCTACACCTAAAGAAATCAGAAAAAGAACAAACAAAACCCCAAGTAGGAGGAAGGAAATAGTTAAGATGAGAGTGAAAGGAAATAAAAACAGTAGAAAAGATCAATACAGCAGAGAGAGCCGGGATGTGGGTTCTCAGCAGAACTTGACTCTGCTGTCACCCTAGGCCTCGGACTTCCAGCCTCCAGAACTCACGGAACTAAGTTTCTGCTTATCAGCCAAAAGAGCACACATGAATGAAAAAAGTTATAACTGATACCACAGAAATACAAAGAATCGTTAAAGAATACTAGGAACAATGATATGCCAGCAAATAGGATAATCTAAAGGAAATGGGTCAATTTCCAGAAGCATGTAACTTTCTAAGACTGAACCAGGAAGAAAAATACAAAATGTAAACAAGCTGTGAAGTACTAGCAATGAAATTGAAGCAATAATAAAACTCCCAACAAATAAAAGTTCAGGAGCAGGTGAATTCTACCAAGTGTTCAAAGAAGAAAATTAATACTTATCCTTGTTAAACTATTTCAAAAAAATTGAAGAGTTAGGGATGCTTACAAACTCATTTTACAGGCCAGATTACTCTGATACCAAAACCAGATAAAGACATTACAAAAAAAGAAAATGGCAGGTCAGTACCCTCTATAAACCTAGAAAAATTGTCAAGCCAGATTTAGCAGTACATTAAAAGGATTATACATCATGACCAAGTGGATTCATCCCAAGGATGGTTGACCATCCATAAACCAATCAATGCGTCACATCACATTAACAAAATAAATGATAAAAACCCTCAACAAAGCGGGTAGAGAAGGTATACAGTGGGGCCTTGACTTATGAGTTTAATTCGTTCCGAGACCGAGCTCGCTCGTTAACTCAAATTACTCTATCAACTCAATGCAAAAAATCAGCCGAGAGACAGCTGGTATCTCAAAAAACTTGTTAGTCGGGACACTCGTAAGTCAAGGCCCCACTGTATCTCTCTCTCAATACAGGCCATAGAACCTGCAGGTAACATACTCAGTGGTGAGAAGCCGAAAGCCTTTCCTCTAAGATCAGGAACAGGCAGGGGTGCCCATTGTTCCTTCTGTTCAGCATAGCAGTGCGAGCCCTCGCCACAGCAGTCAGACAAAAAAACAAAAGGCACCCAAATTAGAAAGGCGGAAACAGAACTCTCAGAATTTGCAGGTGACATGATACTATTATAGAAAACCCTCAAGACCTCACCAATGAACTACTTGAACTAACAAGTGACTTCATGTAGTTGCAGGACGGAGTCGCTGTACAGAAATTGTTGCATTTCTATACATCAGTAATGAACAATCGGAAGAAATGAAGACAGAAATTGTAGAATTGCAAATTTACAATTGCATCAAAAAGTGTAAAACACCTAGGAATAAATTTAACCAAAGAGGTGAAAGACCTGTACTCTGAAAACTGTAAGACACTGAAGAAAAAATTGAACAGGATACAAATAAATGGAAGGATATACCTTGCTCATAGATTAGAAGAATTAATAGTGTTAAAATGTAGCATACAGATTCAGTGCAATCCCTATTAAAATACCAAAGACATTCTTCTCGGAATTAGAACTAATCCTAAAATGTATATGGAACCACAAAAGACCCCAAATAGCCAAAAAAATCTTGAGAAGAACACATCCTGATACCAAATTATATCACAAAGGTACAATAATCAAAGCAGTGTAGTACTGGCATTTAAAAAACAGATCAATGGAATAGAATAAAGATCCCAGAAATCCCCACTTACATGGCCAATTAATCTGCGACAAAGGAGGCAAGGATACATAACGCGGTAAAGACATTCTCTTCAGTATGTGGCGAACTGGGCAGATAAATGCAACGAAATGAAATTGGACCACTTTCTTAGACCATACATAAAAATAAACCCAAAGTGGATTAAAGACTTAAATGTTAGACCTGAAACCATGAAACACCTAGAAGAAACATAGGCAGTGAACCCTTTGACGTTAGTCTTAATATCTTTTTTGATATAGCTCCTTGAACAAGGGGGAACAAAAGAAAAAATAAACAAATGGGACTACATCAAACTAAAATGTTTTTGAATAACGAAACCAACAAAACGTAAGAACAACCTACTGAATGGGAGAAGATATTCAACAATGATATACTCAATTATGGGGTTAATATCCAAAGTATATAAAGAACTCAGACAACTTAACACCAAAAAACAATTCAATTTTAAAAATGGGCAGAGGACTTGAATGCGCATTTCTTCCAAAAGGACATACAGATGGTCAGCAGATACTGCAAAGATGCTCAGTATCGCTAATAGTCAGGGAAACAAAACCACAATGCATATCCCCTCACACTGTCAGAATGGCTGTCACCAGTAAGTACCAAGTGCTGGCGAGGATGTAGAAGAAGGAGCCTTGACACTATCGGTAGGAATGTGAGTTAGCGCAGGTTTCTCAAAAAAATCAAACAGACCTGCCTTACGATCTAACAATTCCACTTCTACACATTTATCTGCAAACAAAAACCCTAATTCAGAAAGATATATGCACTGCTATGTTAATTGTAACCAAAATGGGGAAGCAACCTACAGGTCCATCAATAGATGAATGATAAAGAAATGTATATCAATACCCATAAATCTGCATAATAATGGAATATTATTAAGCAGTAATAATGAAATCTTGCCATTTGCCACAACATAGATAAACCTAGAGGGTGTTAAGTGAAATAAAACAAATACCATATAATCTCACTTTTATGTGGAATCTAAACTGAATGACATTTAGAAATAGAAAACGGCAACTAAGAGCATTATCTTATTCCCAGGATTTCTGTTTTTCACTCTATTGTACAGATGAGGGAACAGGCAGAGGTAAATTAGCTTGTTCAGGTCATCTGACTCATAAGTGATAGAATTTGTACCAGGATCTAGTTGGTAAAAGCCCCTCCCTGCCCCAGGGGCCTAAGCTCTAACAGGGAGTTCTTCAAAGAATGGTGGGTTACTGTTCCGTGAGTCTCCAGGGAAGCAGCCTGAGACTGAGAATCAGAAAAGACTTGTAGATATGTGTGCCTCCCGTGTAAACCTGTAACTTAGTCAAGTTCCTTTTTCCCAGGGTGACCTGCGGCGGATGTGGTCTGAGCCCTTCCACTCCAAGTCCAGCAGCTCCCGATTCCTGGAAGTATGATGGATCGCAGTGACCAGACGGCCATCCTCGTCTTTTCTGTCGACGCGTTTCCTCTTGGAGTTGGCCTGGTACTCGGAGACGTACCTGTTTAAGGAACTGACGTGGGACTGGATTTTGCGTTTGCGGGGAGCTTGTCTGCAGGAGCGAGGTGCTGGGGCGCTGCCGGATCCTCTTCCCGCCGCGGTGGAGGTGGAGCCCCTCCTGAAGTGACAGGCCTCCCCAGCGCGCCTCCCCCGGCTTTATGGACCTGCAGTGGACTCGCCGTGGGAGATGGTGTGGGACTGCTTAAAACTGACGGCGGCATGGAGTCGCTCTGTACCTTTCGAACACTAAAAGGATGAACACATGAGCAAAGTGAAGTTTCCTCAGTGAACCCTCAAGAACGTTGGGATCAGTTTCCAATGGGGACTCGTTTCAGAGAACAGAGACAGAGCTCTTCTGTCCTTATATTCTTTCCTTTTTTGGATTTATTAAATATTTTCTGTGGTGTGAAATGACTTATTAAATCCACAGACATTGAGTGACTTCTTGCAACATACACATATGGATTGTTGTAAAGCGTTCATGTCCACCCAGATGTGTCGGCAGTGAATGGGGGCACGGTTTTTATACATTCACACGCACATAGATATGTATGAATAAACAAAACCTAAAACCTGCTAAGATCATGCTGTGTAGCAGACAGGGGCTCGCTGTGATTGTTAGCATGTAGAGCCGTTTTCTCTGGCTTTCTTGTACATGGATAAGCTGCTGTCTTTCCCTCCACGACTGAGCGTGCAGTTAAAAACCAGTATAGTATTTGTACTGATATACTCATGGGCGTTAGGGGTCTCATTTGGTTGTGGTCAGTATAGCAAATTAGGGATGAAAAGATAAACCTTTTTGGCCCTTTTCGTTTTTGCAGGCTCCTCCCTTGCAGGGTTTTAGTCCTTCCTTCCTGGACTGATGCATGTATTGTAGCAGCAGGCGTCTTTGTGCTTTCTGATCATAGTAATGGACGACTTGTAAATACATTTTTCTATTTTCTATTTTTTTGTATTTTTTTTGGCATTTTGTTTCATTGGTGTGCTGTATTTTCCATGCCCTCACTCCTTTAAGGAAAAAAAAAAGGAAAAAAAACAACACAATCCTCTCCTTGCTGTTGTGATTATAGTCTTGGTTTACCTGTGGTGACAACTGGGTATTGGGGACAAATGTCACGTGCCCCCCTCCCCCCATATTCCAGGGTGCACCCGACATTCCAGGAATTGTGGTCCGAGCCAGCGGCCCTGTTTGCCGGAGAGCAGCGTTCCCATGGTAACTAGTGTGAGTGACGTGCGCCAGCCTTTGTCTAGCAGCCCTGCCTGGTAAGGAAGTGCCCAGTGTCCAGAGGCAGAGAGAAGCCTGGAATTGGCCTGCGTTTCTGACAGCGGAGGCTGGAGCGGCACGAGTCCTGGTCTCCCGCGAGCAGGACCCTCCTGGCCCGCCCTGACCTGCGTGATGAGCCTGCGCTGTGGGTCCTGTGCCTGAAGGCCCAGTGGACAGCACGGTGGGCCTGTGGCCTTGGGAATGGGAAGCCATCAGGGTGGTGCGTTCCTCTATGTCTTCAAATCCTGCTGAGGGCCGCCTTGTTTTCTGTTTTGTTTGTTTTTTAAAAATAAATGACTCCTTTCTAGACTTTTTCACCTCATCTTCACTTTGGTTGTTGGTACCAGACTCTCACCTCCCTGCTCTGTCGGCACCAGAATACGAATGGGAGACCCTCTCCAGACGGGCCCGCAGCTCTGGTCCCGCGCAGACTGAGAAGGCGGCCTCTGGCCCCGGAGCTGCCAGCCGGGCGAGGTGCCCACGCGGCCCAGGCTCTTCTCCCGACTCCAGGAGGCTGGTGGCTCAGCAGGCGGGCGGGGTGGCTTCCGGAATGGCTCCAGGTGAAGGCAAGGCCAGTAGTTAGAAATGTCATCCTGGCAGTCCGTCATTTTACTTCTTCTAACTTCTCATACAAAAACTAAATTCCAGACAAGGAATGTACCGTGATTTCTCGTTATTCTCAAGAAAGTCTGTGCAGGTTCAGGGCGGGAATACACAGGGCTCCTGAATGTAATTTGGATTCCATTTGCTAGTTCAGAGTCCTTACACTGCCACGCCTCCAAAACAGAAACCATCCCCACCCCACGGTATTTTGAATTTAAAAAATCAACTTGCAATGAATATTATAAAAATAAATGTATTACTCACAATTCAGGTGTTCTTGAATATTTTCAGCTGAAAATTCTCACGAAAAATGATTTTAAAAAATGATTTTAAAGTTAGTCAGGGCTGCCACTTAGGGAAACATTTTTTTTTATAGACACGCGTGGCGTGTGGGGAAGGTCCCAGACGCTCATGGCGAACAAGGGCTTAAAACGGGCCGAGGAACTGCAGATGCTCCTGTGGTTTTAAAGTGACCACAGCGGACACTGGAGTTCCCCGAGTCCTGCACGCAGCGCCCTTTGGCCGGGGGAGGGGGAACCACATGCTTTTATATCTCCGTGCATCGCGCCCCCCTCCCCCCGCCTGAGGTGCTAGCAGCCGTGGGCAAACTACGGCCCGTTTGAAATGAATAAAACTAAAAAAAAAAAAAGACCGTACCCTTTTATGTAATGATGTTTACTTTGAATTTATATTAGTTCACACAAACACTCCATCCATGCTTTTGTTCCGGCCCTCCGGTCCAGTTTAAGAACCCATTGTGGCCCTCAAGTCAAAAAGTTTGCCCACCCCTGTATGGCCTCGTCTTCCTCCTCCTCTGAGTCTGGGGTGTTCTAAGAAGCCTTGCATTAGGCAAGGTGTGTTCACAAGGTTCCAGCGCCACCTACCCCTTCCTTCCTCGCTGCTCCGAGGTTCTCCCACGCGACTGCCTGTGGGAACTCATCGCTAATGAAGATGAGACGCAAAGTTGATCCAAAGCCACATGTTCATCGCTGGCACCAAGACATTCCACAGCGCCCTGCGGGAGCCGCGGCCACGGGGAGGGGCTGCCGGTCAGACAGGTGAGGACATGGGCCACACAAAGCAAAGACCGAGCTCCGTAAGGGTGGAGGGAAGAGTCTGTTTTGCCAAAAAAGTGTTAAAAATAGAATCTGCTGGGTCTGCATAGCAGCTCTCGCATGACTGCCCGCCAGGCCCAATGCTGTGTGTAGACGTGTTTTGTGAAGTCTAACCGCGTCAGAGCCTCGGACGAGCGGTTTGTGTGTCCGCGGCGCGCACTGGGCAGGCCGTGTGCAAGGGCAGCCGGAGCAGCCCCGGGCCTCCCCTCGCGGCCTCCCCTCGCGGCCGCGGTTCCTTGGCGGTGTCCGCAGTGACTCGCTTCAGGAGCAAGGCCCCGAACGCAGGCCTGTCCTGAACTGCTGCACGTCTAGGCCCTCATCCGGGAGGGCCGAGCCTCGTAAGAGCTTCTCAATCTAAATGATTTTTATTTCTACGTAACTCATAGACTGTTTTCTATTTGCAAGACTAATTTTTTTATATTGATTTCAGAGAGGAAGGGCGAGGGAGAAACACCAAGGATGAGAGAGAATCAGGGATCGGCTGCCCCCTGCACGCCCCCCACTGTGAATCGAGCCTGTGCCCCGACCAGGGAATCGAACCGTGACCTCCTGGTTCATAGGTTAACGCTTGACCACTGAGCCACGCCAGCGGGCAAGACTCTACTCTCTTGACTGCTCCTGGGTTCGGGCTCTCCCGGCAGCACCTCTCTGGCTCTTTACAGCCACAATGTGTCCCCTCGCACCTTTCCCTCGAGCGCAAAGCCCTTCCCACCCACGTGAGGCCAGTCCGTGCTGTCCCAGCTGAGCTGGGTGGGCGCCGCGTGCTCCCCTCCATGGAACCACCCATCCTGACCCCAGGCGGGCTGTAGGGCTGGACGTGCGGGGAGAGGTGGCAGCTTCCCCCACACCAGGTCGCCGGGCGACGCAACACAGATCTACCCAGAGCTTTGATCGCACGTTCTGGGCCCTGGGCACAGAGCGGAGCTGGGATGCTGTTTTAGAAGCGGGAGAGCTCCTTGTCCGGGGCCATCGGGCAGGAGAAGCCGGGCCCTGAAGGACGCCGCCAGCAGGTGGCCCAGCACACTGCTCCCACGTAACACGGACCCAAAGTCTCACCACGCGGAGCAGGAGCCACAGGCGCTGTGACAGGGGTCGGAGGACGCCGGGGTGCCCGCCAGCAGACTCAGCCTTAGTGCAGGGCTCCTTTAACGTGGTTTCCTGTCAGTTGTCAAGTTCCAATAAGCCTGCCCCGTCGGGGAACCTACGCCTGCCCGGGTTTGCAGGGGGACCGAGGCCGGACACGGAGGAGCCGAGAGCCGAGAGCGGGCTCCAGCCCCACGTCCTGGGACGGCCCGAGGCGAAGGAGGGAGTCAGGCAGAGGGAACTGGACGGAGCCTGAGGGTCGGAAACGGCCGCGTGGGCCTGGGCTTTGCCTGGTGAGGAATGCAGGCAGGAGGTGGGCGTCCAGAGGACAAAGACGGAGAGCGGGCAGCAAGGTGGCCACTTGCCAGCATTCCAGCCCCGGGAGTGGGTGCCAGCTCCTCCGCCTGCCCCACAGGCAGATCCTGGCCCTGCAGGGGGGACGTGCTGCCCTCCCGCGGTGGCGAACAGGGCGGGGGGTGGGGGCTCTGGATGGAGAAACACCCTCACCCCGCTCCCCGCTCCCTCACCCTCCTTCCCCTCACCCCCACCACCCTGGTCCTGGTCCTGGCCCTCACACACACTCACACTCCTGCACTGCAGGATGTCACCTGCTGCCACCTCAGCTGTTTACCCAGCAGGCCCGGCCTCGCCAACACCTGCAGGTGAGAGGGGGCCCAGCAGTGAGAGGGGGGCCCTGCAGGTGAGAGGGGGCCCAGCAGTGAGAGGGGGCCAGGAGGTGAGAGGGGGCCCTGTAGGTGAGAGGGGGCCAGGAGGTGAGAGGGGGCCCAGCAGTGAGAGGGGGGCCCTGCAGGGGAGAGGGGGCCCAGCAGTGAGAGGGGGCCAGGAGGGGAGAGGGGGCCCTGTAGGTGAGAGGGGGCCAGGAGGTGAGAGGGGGCCCTGTAGGGGAGAGGGGGCCAGGAGGTGAGAGGGGGCCCAGCAGTGAGAGGGGGGCCCTGCAGGGGAGAGGGGGCCCAGCAGTGAGAGGGGGCCAGGAGGGGAGAGGGGGCCCTGCAGGTGAGAGGGGGCCAGGAGGTGAGAGGGGGCCAGGCGGTGAGAGGGGGCCAGGAGGTGAGAGGAGGCCAGGAGGTGAGAGGGGGCCGGAGGTAAGGGCTGACAGGACCTGCTCCCTGGAGGCAGAGGGTGGGGATGAAGATGGCACCAGGGCTTTAACCTGAACCATGAGTCGCCCAAACAGATAAAGGATGAGAAGAGCTGTGTGAGCCCGCAGAGCAGCTAAAACTAAAACACAGCACAGCACGGAGTCCTCAGCCGGGACTGGAATGAGGCCTGGGGGGCCCAGTGGGACTCAGGACGGGCCGTCCCTCATGCGGCCGCTCAGCCTCGGCGAGTGGCAGCCCCGCGGAGCCACGTCACAGGAGGGGGACGAGGTGCCTCTTTTTAAGTCTTCACCAAACGTGAGGGCTACTAGCTGCGTATCGGGCACTGCCTGTCCGGGCTCCACACGTTCACCAGCTTCGTGGCGGCGGCAGTGACACAGCCAGCCTGACGCAGGGGCCCCGCGCCCTGCCGCCGCTGCTTCTGTCAGACCCCAGGCCTCGCTGCAGACACGGCTCTCCCCACGGCTTGGGGTGAGGGGGGCTGGCCCCTGAACCCCCGTCGAGGCTTGCAAACAAGTGGATCTAAAGAGAGAGCAGGAGCTTTACCATGAGCTGGGCCGGTCCAGGGGGCGAGAGAGCCAGACCCAGCCGGGGTCTCACCTTTTCCTAAACACTGAGGCCCTTGGTGCCAAGCGGCCGATGCGAGTCTGTGGAGGTTTCCCACGTCCCCGGGTCCTAGGACGTCTGGGAGCCCCGGCCCTCGGGGAGAACCCAGGCAGAGCCACCTCCCAGAGCCCAGGGCCTTCCTTGAGCCACTGTTACAGGTCGGCCAGGCCAGGAAGGCTGTTGTGTTCCAGGTCCACGAGGCCAAGGGAGGCTGTTGTGTTCCAGGTCCACGAGGCCAAGAGAGGCTGTTGTGTTCCAGGTCCACGAGGCCAAGGGAGGCTGTTGTGTTCCAGGTCCACGAGGCCAAGAGAGGCTGTTGTGTTCCAGGTCCACGAGGCCAAGAGAGGCTGTTGTGTTCCAGGTCCACGAGGCCAAGAGAGGCTGTTGTGTTCCAGGTCCACGAGGCCAAGAGAGGCTGTTGTGTTCCAGGTCCACGAGGCCAAGAGAGGCTGTTGTGTTCCAGGTCCACGAGGCCAAGAGAGGCTGTTGTGTTCCAGGTCCACGAGGCCAAGAGAGGCTGTTGTGTTCCAGGTCCACGAGGCCAAGAGAGGCTGTTGTGTTCCAGGTCCACGAGGCCAAGAGAGGCTGTTGTGTTCCAGGTCCACGAGGCCAAGAGAGGCTGTTGTGTTCCAGGTCCACGAGGCCAAGAGAGGCTGTTGTGTTCCAGGTCCACGAGGCCAAGAGAGGCTGTTGTGTTCCAGGTCCACGAGGCCAAGAGAGGCTGTTGTGTTCCAGGTCCACGAGGCCAAGAGAGGCTGTTGTGTTCCAGGTCCACGAGGCCAAG